AACTTGTGACAAACAACTCACCTCTAGACTCATGGAACTTGTGACAAACAACTCACCTCTAGACTCATGGAACTTGTGACAAACAACTCACCTCTAGACTCATGGAACTTGTGACAAGTCTTAACGGCCACAAACAGCTCATCCTCGGCGACGGGCGCGCCACAGTCCGGGAACTTGTCCCGCTGGGTTGTGACACAGTTCGGGTCAGCGCTCTCGTCGGCCGAGCAGAACCCCTGGACGTGGGTCAAGTTGCTGCCCTTGCCGTTGTCCCACACAAACAGCGCCAGCTCGTGCTTCGGGTCGATGGAGAAGTCGCTGAACAGCTTCTCTGACGTCAGCCGCTTCCGTAAGCTGTGAACGAGAAGACAGGATGAGACACGGAGCCATGACATAAGCCTAATGACGTCAGCCGTTTCCGTAAGCTGTGAACGAGAAGACAGGATGAGACACGGAGCCATGACATAAGCCTAACCCTGTTCTGCAGAGAAACACAGTAACGGTCATATAGTGCTGGGTTTTCTTTGTTTGTTGGAGAAAAGAGAAACACATGAGCACGACACAATATCGGTCATTTACTCCTGGGGTTTCTTTTTTCTTTTCAGTTTTAGTTTTAGAAAGAGTTTCACTGAACTAGCAACATAATTTGGTCATATAAGTTCTGAAGATTAGAGGTCTTACAAAAGAGGAACAAACAGAAAAAAGAAAGAGGAGAGATAAGGATGATAGATGTTTGATAACAAAAAAGCAGCAAACCACACCTAGGCTGGCGTCACATGAGTTTATAGGATGAATAGTGCTAGACTAGCGTCACATGAGTTTATAGGATGAATAGTGCTAGACTAGCATCACGTGAGTTTATAGGATGAATAGTGCTAGACTAGCATCACGTGAGTTTATACAACAATACCTATGCTAGACTAGCGTCACATGAGTTTATAGGATGAATAGTGCTAGACTAGCATCACGTGAGTTTATAGGATGAATAGTGCTAGACTAGCATCACGTGAGTTTATAGGATGAATAGTGCTAGACTAGCATCACGTGAGTTTATACAACAATACCTATGCTAGACTAGCGTCACATGAGTTTATAGGATGAATAGTGCTAGACTAGCATCACGTGAGTTTAT